GGGGCCCAAACAGGGCCCACACATTGGTGCTCAGCCCACAACACTGCAAGACTGCATCTTGCCGTCGCCTCCCAGAAGCACATACTTCACCTGGACATCAGCCCTGGTTCACACACACTGCTTGCTTGATGCTGCAGGACCATGAGGCTGTGAATCCATGACAAGATCCAACCTCCTAGCACTTCCAAAGCCTGTGTCACTAGACCTTCTCAACCGAATCTTACTCATACCACGCCATGTTTCATTTCATTTCACACACCCTCTCCCTCCTTCCAATCAGGACGCCACCCCAACTGCAACTTGGCCCTCCAGGACTGCAAGGCAATGGGGCACCACCTGCCTGTATTCCTGAATAAGCCAACCTCTGTATACACAACACCAGCACACACTCTACTCAGGGTTCGATATCGAACACCACAGTTATTGACAGGAATAATTCCTTTTGTCCAGCATTTCGCCAAAACTCAAGAAGTTACAGATCTAGTTGATGAAGATGTGGGGGTTCTTTTGGTACTGGGAATCGAACTCCAGATGTTGTGGTTTTGTATTCACCATGTGGTTGTGTTAATATCTGTTCCTTTTCAGAATTGCTGTAATACATACTTGTTCTTTTCATACGTGTTGTCTTTGGTCCACTATACAGTCCTATCTATAGACCGGCTTCCATTAAGGTTCTCAGAGTATTGTGCTACCCATAAATAAAGAAAAAAAATAAAATAAAAAGGACTTGGGATGTAGTTCAGTGGGAAGGTGCTGGGTTTAATCCCCAGTATCCTAGAAAGAAAAGGTAAGGAAAAGAAAACGTAATCCCTTTCTCTGTGAAAACACCATGAAAGTCTGAGTTGTTTGGGTGCTCATTTAGGTGTGTGATTCACAAGTGATGCTTTCTAAGAAGTAGGGAATTGGAGTCTCCTAGGAGAACACCCAGGGCAGTGTGGGACCTGTAAGGCCAGCCCTAGCCCTCCACAGGGTTTGCTTGTTCCAACTCTGCACCAGGGCCTCCTACTGGCAGAAGGGAGGAAAAGCATTGTCCTTGGGCTGCTATCCCAAAGTCTCCTTCCAACTCAACTCAGGACCTTGCACTTGCCAGGCAACCGCGGTAACACTGTGCTACATCCCTGGCCCTAATCTTTGACCTTGAATTTCATCATTTGTATCTAAATTATAATATTTGGCTATAATGATGGTTCAGGAATTAGTTTCAATATGATTTTCTTTCTTTAATTGTTTATATTCAAGGGTTTATTCCCAGGCAGCAATTTAGGGTCAGGTTTTTTAAAGGATAGAGCACAACTAAAAATCTTGCCATAGGGAAGGGAAAGGGCCTGAGGGAGGGAATAGGATAAAATGAAATAAAATTATTTTTAAAAAGTTTTTAATCTTGACAATATGACACTGGTGAAAGAATGGTCTCCTGAACAAATTCAAACTCCCCTGTGTTCTCTGGAGTGAGACATCTTGAACACAGGACGAGTGTGATCGGGAGCATTTAAAATGAACAACCAAAGACCACAGAGAGTGGGTCCGTTTGGCAGCCTCTGGAGGGAGAAGATCAGCAGTCAACTGTTCCCGGGACACAAGAGCTCGAGACTGCGACTCAGAAGTTTGAGTCTAAGGTCCCCTTCTCCAGCAGCAACTAAGCGCATCTCTGCTGAAGCTCCTTTTCCCTTTCCTGCTGGCTCTGCACTTCTTCCTTTAGACGCTGCAGCCTCCGGAGAACGGCGCGGTCTTCCTGCTTCTTGAGTCCTTCCCAAGAGCACAGCTTCAAGTGCACCTGGTCCCTGTGGCCCCACAGGTCGTCCAGCTGCTTTTTGAGCCCCACGGCCCGGGACTGGTAACCTCCCAGCAAGATCTGCACCTTCTTTTCCATCCTCTCCCCCCTCTTGGCTTCGGTCCTTAGGTGAGCCCTGTTTGTCTCAAGCATCTCTGCAAGCGACTCAATTCTGTCCTTCGTGCTGGCTAGGTTGGCCCTTGGGCAGCGGCTCTGCCCGGGAGATACAAAAGTCGACGGTCGCATTCTTCCCACACCTGGCTGTAGGCGTCCCTGGAGAGATCTTCATGGTTCATTTCTCGTCTCACCACTTCCATCTCCTGAGCCACAAGGTCCTGGGCCTTTTGCAGCTCATCTCTGGAGAACTCTCCATAAGGATTCTGTCTCAGGCAGGTGATGTGCTCTGAGTTCTTAGTGGCAGATCCTACAGTTTCTCCTTCCTTATTTCCAGACGGTTGGTAGGGGTGATATAGAAGGTCATGATGAAGCATGGTGATCATCTCGCTCTTGATGAATTCTTCACTCTTCTGTAAATCTGTTAGAGGTGGTGCTCCATGGGACCATCTTAGAATGGTTTCATTGACTTCAGATGGTCTCGGCAGATCTCTTGGACAGTTTTATGCATTTCTTTCATTTCCTTCACCCGATCTGCCTCCCGTGTGGGCTGCTTTCCTGCAGCCACGTGGGCATCACCTTCAGTGTGTGTATCAGCTGCTTTGTGTTCTTCCGGCTTTCTCAGAATTTTCTGGTAGAACAATTTCAAAACTGACTGGAGCTCCTCTAAAGAAACACAATGGAGGGGCCGGGCATTTAGCTCAGTGGTTCTGCCACCGGCTTTGCAAGCACACGGTCCCAAGTTCGATCCCCAGTACCAAAAAAAAAGAAAAAAAAAGAAAAGAAACAGAATCGAGCCTTGCTTCTGCATTTCCCTTTTATACCACTCATGCAACAAGCCGCCCTATGGAGGGTCTTCTGTCTTCAGTAAATCCCATCAGCCACACTCAGAACTACCCTGATCCAATTTAGTTGGCTGTTTCTTACTTAAATTGATACAATCAGGCAACTATCACAGTGTTTGTTTGCTGTTGCTTTTTTATTCAACATTGTTTTTGTAATTCACTCATGCCATTGCTGCAATTTGTACCTTTTTTACTAGTTAATGTACCACTGCATAAAATTATTACAACTGGTTTATTTCTGTACCTTTTCACCCAGTCCGAACAGTATAAATAGTAAAGTGCACTAACACCTAAGACAAAACGAACATTATGGACTAATTCTACAGGGCATTTTTTTTTTTCCATCATCAGGAATCAAACTCAGGACCTTGCACTTGCCAGGCAGGCACAGCGCCACTGAGCTACATCCCCGGCCCTCTACAGGGAATTTTATTTCTATATATTTTACATATTTTCACACAGAAGTTGATATTACAATAAAATATATGAATGAGAACTGTGTGAATACAGAAGTATGTAAATAAATGACTGAGAAGCATATTTTGTCTATTCTTTACCAGTAGAGTTTAGCGCGATTTTGAAATGTAAGTGCATGAATAACAAAAATCCAAGTGCACACATGAAAGAAGAAACACATCAAAATTATAACACTGGAGGGCTGGGGATTTAGCTCAGTGGCACCGTACCTGCCTCACAACTGAAAGGTCCTGAGTTTGAGCCCTAGTACCAAAAACAACAACAACAACAACAAAAAATTACAACACTGGAACCAACGGCAGTAACATCATTCTTGGATATGCTTTTCGGAAATCAACATGGGATAGGCCTGGCAGGCAGGAGGGACACCTTGTGCTCAGAGCCTGCTGGAAGACGACAAAGGGTCAGCTCTGTAGTGAACATCTTTCATACCTTTTATAATCTGTAACTTTAAATGCATATTCTATTAAGATTTCAATGTTTCTGCTTTGATGTGTGGTCTCACAATACTGCCCAGGGTAGTCTTACTCTCCCAGGCTCCAGTGACCCCTCCCTTAAGCCTCTGGAGTAGCTGAGACCACAGGTGCACAACACTATACCCTGCTATAAAACTGCGTTCACTAAATCTCTTTTCATCTTTGTAATTTTTAAAAAGGTGCTGCGCATGGTGGCACATGCCAAGTGCTTGTAATACCAAGCACTAGGGAGGTGGAGGTAGGAGGATCACTGCAAGTTTGAGGCCAGCCTGGGCTACACAGCGAGTTCAAGGCCAGCCTGAAATACATAGCAAGACCCTGTCTCCAAATTTAAAGAGAGAGAGAGAGAACAGTTTATAATTGCAAAACCCTAAATGTAGGTTTTACAATCATCCTCACTGGAAGAGAGCAGTCAGTTCAATAAAGCCAATTTATAATTCTCAAATAAATTATGGTTATATAATAACACATGCTATGAGTCTGCATTTCTGTCTATGCCACATCCAAGAATTTACACAACGCTAAAGGAGATGCACCGCCCAGAGCTCAGAAAACGACCGAGCAGGCCAAAAACCCAACCAGACTCCAGTCGGGAACTTGCCCCCAGACCTCCAATGGACATGCGATTCTCTCCAAACCCAACCACCAGAAAGGGGGCTGAAGAATACGCACTTAAAAGCAATGATAAGGGATGTGTGTCCAGGAAGAATGCTTTTTAGTATCATCTACTGTTATTTCTTTATTTGGGGCAGTGCTGGAACCACTGAGCTAAATCCTGGGCCCTAAACTTAATTTTTTCAACATCTCTCACTGTGAGCTTCCCATGACATCTTGGTAAGATTTTGGAAAACGGCTGGGATGAGTAGAGCACGACCCACGCATGAAGCTCTGGGTTCAGTGAACAGCAAGAAAATAAAATAAAATTGGTGGGGGAGGAGGGACTGAAAATATTTTTTCCTATGGAGCACAGATGTCCTCTTCATAGGAAACAGTTTCTTAGGTATATTAATTTGGCGCGATTTTTCACAGACCAACACATCAAATTTCGAAACAGTGATGTGAGCCATCTGCGCCATCCGTGTACGCTCCTGTTAAGGAGCTCACTGCCAGTGCGCTTGCGTGTACGAATCTGCAAATACTAATGCTCCCCAGCGGTCGTGGTTAGAATTGGGATTAGGATTAGGGTTAAAATTAGGGTTAGGGTTAGGGAGGCGGCGCCGGCTGATCACTGGATATAGAACAAATGAAGGAGCCGGGCTCGTCTCGGTGATCCGCGCGGTGTCCCGGAGGGCGGGTCCCGAGCCTGGGGGAGCTCACCTTTACGTGCTCGTAGTAGCTCCCGGCGGTCAGCAGCGACACCCCGCGAAACGGGCCGGTCTGCAAGGCCTGCAGCAGCCGCTCCACCACCGGGTTCACCTGCTGGGTCGCCGCCGAAGTCTCTTCGCGCCGCAGGCGCAGCCGGTCCAGCACTTCGCCCGGCCGCCAGCCGCCCGGGGCCGCTCCCTTCGTGCGGAGAACGAGGGGCTCCCGGGGCCGGGGCGGGGGTCTCGAAGCCCGGGCTGGGGTAGCGCGTGAGGACGCCCGGGGACGACGGGCTGTGGGCGCGCTGGGTCGGCGCTCCCCCCGGAGGTGCCGGGTGTCTTCGTCCTCGTCCTCGTCCTCCTCAGCCGCCGCTGCTTCCTCCTCTTCTCCCTCCTCCTCCTCTTCTCCCTCCTCCTCCTCCTCTCCCTTCTCCTCCTCCTTCTCCTCCTCCTTCCAGGAATCCTGGTGGTCCTCCCCCTCCTCCTCCTTCAGGGGATCCCGGGCTGCCCTTTTCTGCGCCGGTAGCGACCGCGCGGGCTGACCGCACTTTCCTGAGCGAGGCCGAGGGGCCCGGGGTGCGGCCCGAGACCCGCTGGGCTTGGTCAGGACAACCCCGGGAACCGGCTCCGGACCCCCGGGGCAGGCGGGTCGGACCTCCGGAACTGTCCGCTCCGTCTTTTGGCATCGCGGGCCCATGTCCAGGGCGCTCTGCCCATAGAGGAAGACCTGACTTCCAGGAAAGGAGGCGAGAGGTAGAACGGGCGGCATCCGCTAGAAATGAAACTTAGAAACTGGCGCGCAGGGAGTGGGCGAAGGAAGGAGCCCGAAACCACGTCCTCGGGGGGGGGGCGGGGGGGAGAAGCCCGAAACCACGCCCCCTCCTTAAAGGAGCCCAGAAACCAACCCCCCACCTGCGGAGAGTGCCAACTACCTCGCCCAGGGGTAGAGCCCCGACCACTACCTGTGGAGGAGCCCTGGGTTCCCCGCCCCCTGGGGAGGAGCCATTGGATATTACGCCCCACCCGGGGAGCAGCCCCAGGAACTTGGAAACGCCCAACTTGTTTCCTAAGTACCATCTAAAATGATCGAGGAAAACAACATACTTTTGCATATTTGAAGTTCACAGAGAAAGTTTTTCCATGTAAGCTTAAGTAAGGGCGTTTTGCTTTTTTTTTTTTTGGTACTGGGATTCGAACTCGGGTCCTTGAGCTTGCGAGGCAGGCAGCGGAACCACTGAGCTAAATCCCTGGCCTGGGTATTTTGTTTTTAATGAGAAGTATAAATACTCAGCCTTCACATGATAGAATGAGAGAAATAGAATCTGGTCAAATAGAATCTGTATTTCATTTTATTTGACCTTTTTAAAAACACACAACCTCTTAGAGAACTTGTTTAAAGTTCCTATCTAGAGTGTTTTCGTTGGTCTGTTCTGCACTGTTGGGACTCAAACCCAGGGGGCTAGGCAAGCACTCTACATTCCATAAAACTACAGCCCCAGGCCTATCTGTGAAGTTTATCCAGTGGTTGGGCTAAAGACCGTCAAAAAGCCAACACTTAGGAGTTCAAGTTATGCATACTGCTGAATATGGTGGCACACACCTGTAATCCCAGCACACTGGAGGCTGAGGCAGGAGGCTTGAAAATTTCAGCCCAACCCCCGGCAACTTTCCGACTTAGTGAGACCCTGTCTCAAAATAATCAGCCACAGTATCTCAATGCAAGCTTTCAAATATCTATTTCTCTTTTCTTTTTCTTTTTTTGGCAGGGGCTCTACAGGTAGTTCAGGCTGGCCTTAAACTCACTGTGTAGCCCAGGCTGGCTTCAAATTGCGCAGATTCTCCTGCCTCAGCCTCCCCAAGTGCTGAGATTACAGGCATGCACCATCATACCCGGCTTGGTTACTTTTTAAAACACCATCTTAACCATATTAAGTGTACAGTGCAATGACAGGTACACTGGTGTGAACAACTGAAACTCTACCATAAATAACTCTCCCCAGTCCCTGGCAATCACCATTCTACTTTTCTGTGATTTTTACTATATACCTTAAATTGGTGGAATTATACAAGTATTTGTCTTTTTGTGACAGGTTTATTTCACATGGGCAAAGTTCATCGCTGTTGTAATGCATGTGAGAATTTCTTTTTTTTTTTTTAATGCAGAACAGTATTCCACTGCATGTATATACAGCATTCACATTTTGTTTTTGGGGGGGGTTTTTTGGTACCGGGAATCGAACTTGGGACCTTGCTCTTGTGAGGCAGGCACCAGAACCACTGAGCTAAATCCCCAGCCCAGCATTCACATTTTGTTTGCCCCTTAACCTGTCAATGGGCAAAAAATGCCTTGATTACATTATTTCTTTTCTTTTCTTTCTTCCTTCCTTCTTTTATTTATTTATTTCTTATTTTACTTTTCTCTGCTTCTCCGCTGTCTCCAAGTCCCAGAAGGGGAGCCCCATGGACTGAGCCCCTCTAAATGCCACATGGCTCAAAGTGATCTCCATAACAACTTTGAGAGGGAGGCAGCCACGGATCCCCTACAGAGATGAAGAAAGCCCATAGTGATCTGCTGAGAGGTGGCAGAGCCAGGAAGCCATGTCCCACCACAGCCCCACAGCCTGCCCTCGATCCCCAGCCCTATTTCCTCCCTTCCTGGAAGGGATACCCTGACAAGGTCACCTAAGGCCTACCTTCACCAGTTGCCTGGTCCAAATTCCACCCAGGACATGGACCGTGGAGGAGGGGGTGGTAAGGAGGGGTGACAGTGAAGAGGTGGCCAGCACACACCAGTCCAGTTGGCAAGAGGCATAGAGAGGCCTCGTGTCGCTGGATGGCTCCCTGGGTACCTGCACACCTTCTGGATTCCTTGCGGGGGGGGGGGCGTAAACACATGGGGGAAAATGTAGCGGAGATGTGAGTCCCTCAGGGCTCCCCCTTTTCAAATTGTTTCACTTGAGATTCAGACTCCAACCTGCACTCCCACCCTCTGCCTCCTTAAAATATCCAAAGATCAAAAAGAAAACGTGCCTGAGTATTTTTCTTAAATTTCCCTGAAACACTTTCCATATATATCCTACTCCTTTTGTGTTTCTGTTATTGCAATACTGAGGATTGAACCCAGGGCCTTTGCACTGAGCTACATCCTCAGTCCTATTTCCATTTTTTATTTTCAGCCACTTTTTTTTTTTTTGATACCGGGGATGGAACTCAGGACCTTGTGCGTGCAAGGCAGGTGTGGGGCCATAGAGCTAAATCCCCAGCCCTTCATTTTTTATTTTGAGACAAGGTCTTGCTAAGTTGTTAACTTGCCCAGGCTGGACTCAAACTTTCAGTCCTCTGCCTTTGCCTCCCAGAATCATGGGATCACAGACGTGCACCACCACACCCCAGAGCGATAAGCCCTAGTCTGAAATGGGAAATCAGAGAAGTGTATTTTTCTTTTGCATCATGAAAGGATGACTAGTGTGTGGTCAGGCTTGTTCTCAAGCAAATCAGTTTCAAAGAACACCAAAATGGAAACTGAAATGTGGAAATGTATTTCCTTAAACTGTAAAAGCACTTGGGCAAGTCTTCCAAGACACTCTGGGGTGTGCTCACTCCATTGTGAACACCTCTGCTACAATGTTCTGCATTCCTCATGGGCTACCGCTGCTTAGCATGGAATCCTATGAGTGACTTGAGGCCAATTTAATGCTCTCTCTTCCAACAGTCTATAAAATCCTCTAAAGGTCATTAGTATTTGCTTAATCATTAATGTGCCAATAACAATCCACAGTACCAGATCAAACATTTTTTTTTTTTTAATGATACAGGGTCTCACTAAATCGCTGTGTTTCCTTACCTGGACTCAAACTTTCTATCCTCCCGCCTAAGCCTCTTACAGTGCTGGGATAACAGGCATGTGCCTCCACATCTGGCTCAGATCAAACACTCCTACCCTGGCCTATCAAAGGATGAAAACTCTTTCCTTACATAATCTTGTAGGGGCAACCAATATCCAAATCTCAATGGGAATGACTTTTTATTTGAATTCTGATGTGGTATGCAGACTACTACTACCAATGTAGACATTAGTAGAAAAACTCAAGAAATTTATCTGTGGAGGGCTGCAGATTTAGCTCAGGGGTTCCGCCGCCTGCCCCAAAAGCACAAGGACCTGAGTTCAATCCCTGGTACAAAAAAAAAAAAAAAGGAAAGAAGAAGAAATTTATCTGTGGATATATATTTAATCTACTTGATTTTACATCTTCTTTGTGTGTGTGTGTGTGTGTGTGTGTGTGTGTGTGTGTGTGTGTTTTCACACTGCAGATTAAACCCAGGGCCTCATATATGCTAAGCAACTCCAACACTGAGCTACACCCTCATTCTTTATATCTCGTTTAGTCTCTAGTAAGGCACTTAGTCACGAAACAAATATTAGCCTAACATGATCCAGGTGCTATTCCTGGCTCTTGGGGATTTACTGATAAAGATTCTTGTCCTCCTGGAGCTTACATTCTTTTAGCGAGAAACCAGCAATATTCAAACATAAATACCTAAGTATGATTTTTTTTGTGGTAGAAGTTAATAAGTTCTATTAAAAAAGAGAAAGTAGTACAAGAGAGGGCAAAATGAGGCATGGAGAATACTGAAATCCTGAGAGGATGACACTGGAGCAGGATGAAGGAAGGGGCTATTCTACTGTAATAAACCAGAACCATGAATATAATTGTTTTTCTGAATATGTGAGCTCTTCTAATCATCTTGGGGATCCTGATACAAAGGATAACAGTACAAAAGTTTTATCTTCTTTACAACAGAAATCCCATCAGTGGTGTACTTATACCCTGCCTAAACAGTCTATCTTTGAATCTGTGTGTGATGTCTCTACTAGAAAGAATATACACCATGCAAAGCTTCCATGTTCAATAAATAGCTCTCAAAACACACAGGCCTGTGGGGGATGGGTCAGTGGCAGAGTCCTTGCCTTGTATACACCAAGCCCTGGGCTTGATTCACAACACCATGGAAAGGGGAAAAAAGTAGGCATCCATCTGATTTTTCTAATTAATGGTTCAAGCTATGTCATTTTCAAATATTGATTTAAAAATAGTATATCTCAGGGGCTGGGGATGTAGCTCAGTGGCACCCTACCTGTCTGGCAAGCTCGAGGTCCTAACTTCGATTCCCGGAACCAAAAAAGAAAAAAAAAAAAATAGATAGATAAATAATAAAAATTGTATATTTCATAGCTCTTGAAAATGGCATATATTTGTATTTATTAGCACAGAAAAATGTCCACAATAAGCTATTGTGTGAATGAGCAGATTACAAAACAATGGACATATTATTGCATTTTCATTAAAAGTATCAACAATATATTTATAGTTAAATTAAAATCAAAAGGGCTGGGGATTTAGTTCAGTGGTTCTTCTGCCTGGCCTGAAAGTGCAAGGTCCCGGTTCCATCCCCAGTACCAAAAGATAAATAAATAAAATAAAATCAAAAGCTGAATACACTGTGGGTAAATAATCATATACATTGCTAGTGAAATGTGACACAGAGTTTTGAACAGTAATTTGTCATTTTATTAAAAATTTAAACACTGAGCCTGGAGGAGTGGTGGATACCTGTAATCCCAGCATTTGGGAGCCAGAGGTAGGAGAATCACAGTGAGTTCGAATTTAGAAACCAGCCTGGTCTACATAGTGAGTTCAAGGCCAGCCTGAACTACAAAATAAGACCCTGTCTCAAAAACAAACAAAAAACATTGAGAAGCCTCTTAGCCCAACATTTAGAGTACCATAAATTTAAAACAATATATGTACAAGGATGGTTATTATGTTAAAAAAAATTAGAAATAATAAAAAAATCCATTGAGTCCACTAAATGTCATCACCTGCATGCATAACTGAATACTATATAACATTAAAAAGTGAGATCAGCACATATATACTGGCACAAGAAGACAAAATAATTGGAAAGAAGCAAAGTGCAGAACAGTATTATCACAATATTATAGGTAGGTACACAGTAATAGTAGCATTAGTGTATGTCTTAGTTACTTTTGTTGTTGCGAAGACAAAATAACTGACACCCACAGTTAAAGGAGGAAAGATTTCTTTTGGCTCAGTTTGTAGAGGTTTCAGTTCATAGCTGGCTCCAAGGCAGGTTAGCCTGGCAGAGGGGCACTGCAGAGGACAAACAGTGCAAGGCAGGCAGAAATCAGCAAAGCACCAAAGTAGCTCAGAAGCAGCAAGCAGCAAGCTAGGACCACAGCAGCCCTTTTTCTGTCCCTTATAGTTTATCCAGCTATATGCCCTTAGGGCAGGTAGCACTCACACCCCGGGTGGGGCACACTAAATCCTCCCAGAACTATGCCAAACCAGTCAGTGGACATTTTATTAGTAATTCTTGGCTGAGGCCTGGTGTGCAGGCTGTGAGAAGCCGCCCTTGATCCCAGCATTACAAAGTCTAGACCCAGCCACATATGACCACATGAGACTTTGGGGGGACATCTAGACACAAGCCACAACGGTGCATGCATAAAAAAGATAGGAGTCACCAGCACCAAAATGCTGACTGTGTCAAGGAGGGAAGACATGGTGGAAGTTAGGATTCTTTTTTTTTTGGTACCGGGGATTCGACCTCAGGACCTTGAGTTTGCGAGGCATGCGCGGTTCCTCTGAGCTAAATCGCCGGCCCGGAAGTTAGAATTCTTAATCTCTACAAGTTCTGTATTTCCGTAAGGTTTAAACTGTGTATAACATTTATTATTAATAAATAACAAAATTGACAATTTTAATCAAAACAATAAAACTGCCACACAGATTGCTTCACTATCCAGTCAAATTTCCTCTCTGAGGACGGCTTTAAGGATATCCATTCTAAAGGGCTGGACTTGTAATCTCCAACCATCCAATTCCACTCATGAACCAGCACAAATCTTTCGCTCATAAATAGATTTGAATTCCTTTTAATCTCCTTGTATCTTTAGACTCTAGTTTTTGTAGTCAAACTAAAGTCAAGATGATAAAGTAGCAGGACATGCAGTCTGACAGGGAACGTGATCACCCGTGTTGGTGGTCACCTGGAGACAAGGTCGGAACAGACGGGTAGGGGTTGTATTGCGCGGTCGCTGCAGCTTCAGGTCCGCAAATAATAGGCTGCCCCAGAGCCGCAAGGGGGCGGCCGGAGCCACTGGCGGGCGGCCTGATATCCAATCCCCTGATGCCTCGAGACCGGAAGATCGCGCCGAGCAGCCAATCAGCGGCGACGCTGGACGCAGATGCGCCGTGACGTCAGGCAAGATGGCTACGTCTTGCAGGATTTTTTTTCCTCGCTTAGATGCTTAGCTTCTTACCCAAGTAGGTTTCAGGGCAGGCACACCCTGCGTTTCCAGCAGCATGTTTTCCCTCCGAGGCCGCGGCCTCTGGGTCGCAGCGTCCCTCTCCAGACAGCACCTTCCATCGGCCCGGCTCAGCGGTGACTGTTCAGCGCCCGGCTCTCCGCATTTCGACGTGGTGGTGGTCGGCGGAGGACACGCCGGGACCGAGGCTGCTGCAGCCGCCGCGCGCTGCGGCTCCCAGACTCTGCTTCTCACACACCGCGTAGACACGATCGGTGAGAGCGCGAGCGGTGTGGAGCCGGCGCCCGGCACCCTCCGTTCCCCTCTGGTGCCCTCCCCAGGCTAGAGATCCAGCCTGTTCAGCGGATAGGCTGTGGTCCTGGCGGGTCCGTTCTGGCGACTGCCGAGCTGCTGCTGCTGCTGCCGCCGCCGTTTCCTTGGGGAGAGGCGGGCACGGTGTCCCCGGAGAGGGAGACGTTTCAGAAACACTCAGTGGCACCTTCTTAGTTTGTTACTGGGTTTTCCTTGTACTGTGTTGTTACTTAAGATAAAGGCTGACTTAGAGCCATTCAGTTGTATGAGGGGTTGTTTTATTGAGATTTTGCGAAACCCTTTTGAAGAATGACGCTACCTACTGCATGCTATATTTATGCTTAGGATACTCGATGGTGACCCCCCCACACACACACCCGGGCAATGGATAGACGACCGTAATTTAAAGCAAAACCACTGACTGGCTTCATAGTAGATGCTAGCTGAAACATCATTCCTCTTGCCTTTCATTCCTCTTGCCTTTCGATTAGAAGTAAACAGTAAGTGGAATGTATACCCTGTTTTCTAAAAATCGTGAATAAATCACTCTGTGTATTGAAATACTTTATAAAAATTAACATTCAGTTTATAATTAAGATTCACTTTGCGTGTGTGTGTGTGTGTGTGTGTGTGTGGTGGTATCAGATTTTGAACCCCGGGCCTTTGCACTGAGCTACATCCCCAACCCCTCCGGGTGTTTTTTATTTATTTTTGAGACAGGGTCTCACCAAGTTGCTAAGTTACTCCGGTTGGGTTTTAACTTGGGATCCTCCTGCGTCAGCCTTACACAGTGCTGGTGTTACAGGTGTGTACCACTATATCCAGCTTGAGAAGTATACACTTTTTTTTTTTTTTTTGGTACTTGGGATTGAACTCAGGACTGTGCATTTATTTGTAAGGCAGACGGCAGCACCACTGAGCTAAATATCCCTGGCCCACATGAGAGAAGTATACACTCTTAAAATCGATTCTTTTAGTAAAGAAGAGGCTGTGTGATTCCATGCACTTTACTCTTGTATATTCCAATGTTGTTTGTATTTTTAAAAAATAATGACCTAGTATAACCTTTTCACCTAAAAGAGAGAAAGACTGTAATGAACAAAAAAAAATATTATTGAACTAAGTTGATCATTGAATAGCATACGTAATGTTCTAGTAGAGATAAAGAGATTCCTATATGTCTTTATTTTAAATTGACACAGTAGTTGTACATACTTGTGGGGTACAGTGTAACTTTTCAATACATGTATCAAGTGTGTACTGATCAAATCGGGGTAACTGGCCTATCATCCCAGACATAATTTTTTACACTGGGGAGACTCAATCCTCTTTACTTGCTATTTGGAGATACTCAGTTATCTTCAACCATAGTTATATTTTGCTGTGCTATAGAACATGAGAAGTTATTTCTGCTATCCAGCTGTACCTGCATACTCATTAACCATCATCTCTCCATTCTTCCCTCCACTATACACTTCCCAGCCTTTGATAACCATTATTGAATTCTGTATTTCCTTGCTATCAACAGTTTTGTTTCTACGAGTGAGAACGTGTTATTTGTCTTTCAGTCCTTGACTTACTGTGCTTAACATAATGTCCTCCAGTTCCATCCATACTGCTACAAATGACAGACTCTCCTTCCTTTTTGTGGTTGAATAATATTCCACCACCTTGAAGCTAGCCACCACCCTCATGATTACAAAATGACTGCATTAATTCCAAATGTCATGTCCAGATAATGACAGCTTTCAGCAGGGTTTTTCCCCCTTCTTGAGATTAACTCCATTCCGCTCATTACTTAATAATGCACTTGACCCCAAAACAAGAATAACATGATTATTCTATACCAATAAGCACCCTTAAGTGAGTTGAGGTCACACTGTGAAAGCAAAGCCTCGTGGAGGGAGGGGGAATTAGGTAACATAAATAAAATTATGACTATTTCAAAAGAATAAGAAGGAAAGGGCTAGGGATGTACCTCAGTGGCACTGCACCTGCCTAGCAAGCACAAGGTCCTGAGTTCGATCCCCAGTACCAAAAACAAATAAGGAGGAAAATAATCTACAACTATCATCTCTGTCTTCACAATAGGAAAACTTAGGTATAGAAAGTTAGGTAGTGTATGGGCTGGGGATTTAGCTCAGTGGTTCCGGTGCCTGCCTTGAAAGCGAAAGGACCCGAGTTCGATCCCCAGTACCAAAAAGAAAGGTAGTGTGCCAGAATCATAGAGCTAGTAAGCGGTAGATTTAGAAACTTAGCCAGGTTCTTGCACACATTGTTCATGGTGACACACTCCAAATGCTTAGCATCCCAGCACTATTCACCCTCCCTGTGGAGGTCATTCAGACTTTGAGAGGGCTTGACGGTAACCACAGCAGATGTGTAGATGTTGACACAACTTTCCTACCCATCCATCTCCCAGAAAAGTCTGTGAGGCAACCAAAGAAGACTGGGTCAATTTAAAGGTAAAGGATAAAATTTTGTCTTTACTTTAAAGAAATTTATAATTTAATTATTTCTACAAAGTAAGAGCAAAAATAAAACAGCAAGTGGCATTTATGAGCCATATTTGATGAACCAGTGCCAAGGGACTTCTCAAAAGTTTTGCTTGAAGCTCAGTGTGTTGGTGCACATCTGTAGTCCAAGCTACTCAGGAACCTGAGGTGGGAAGATTGTAAACTCAAGGCCAGCCTGGGCAACTTAGTGAGATTCTGTCTCAAAAAGTAAAAGGGGCTGGGGGTGCAGCTCAGTGGTACAGTGTCCTGGGTTCATTTCCCAGTACCACACACACGCACGCACACACAAAAGCGTGATTTAGGAAGGTTTCATGAGGTACAAATTCGATGTTTCAAATGAAAAGGCAATCTAATGAAACAGTAAAAATAATATATACATTAAGGAAAAGATTCTGAAGAAAGATCAGGGCCAGGTTGGTGGCACACACCTATAATCCCATACTCTGGGAGCCCGAGACAGGAAGATCGCAAGTTCAAGCCCAGCTTGGGTAACTCAATGACATAACAAGATCCTGTCTCAAAATAAAACATTTTAAAAAGGACTGAGAGGGCTGGGGATTTAGCTCAGTGGTTCCAGTGCCTCCCTTGCAAGCACAAGGACCTGAGTTCGATCCAGGTATGAAAACAAAGGACTGAGATGTAGCTCAGTGCACAGAACCTGGACCCAAGCTCCAGTACTGCAAAGGAAGGAAGGGAGGCAGGCAGGCACAATGGGAGTATCAATGGGGTAGTAGGGACACTCTGGACACCTTGGGGATTTTCTTTATGGTATATGTTTCTAGCTTTCTATTTTGTGTCATATAGTAAGATGATTCTGTTTGCCTGTATGAACATTTCCTTACTGAACACCATGTGCATGGTGCTCATTTATTTTTTCTCTTCTCTTCAGGTCAGATGTCCTGTAATCCTTCTTTTGGTGGCATTGGAAAGGGACATTTAATGAGGGAAATAGATGCCTTGGATGGCCTGTGTTCTCGAATCTGTGACCAGTCTGGTGTGCATTACAAAGTACTAAATCGGCGTAAGGGGCCAGCTGTGTGGGGCCTGCGAGCTCAGATTGATAGGAAACTCTATAAACAAAACATGCAGGTAAGAACAGGTCATGAGAACAGGAAAGATCGCAGTGATCATTTAACAGCCATGTTTCAGCTGGCATTCTCTTTTGACAGAAAGAAATCCTGAATACGCCGCTGCTTACTGTTCAGGAAGGAGCCGTGGAAGATCTTATTCTCACGCAGCCAGAGCCTGGACACCCTGGGAGGTGCCGTGTCAGTGGTGTTGTTTTGGGTATGTACTGGTTACAGGTGCTTATAACAGCTTATCAAACTCCAGGTGAGAAATCTATTTGAGAGCAAAGTATGGAAGTGTTTTTCTTATTCCAGGCTGTTCTCTGCCTAGATAAGGAAAACTGTATAAATAATTATATTTCTATTTCCATTTTGACCATCATGATGCTTAGTCAAGTTCTGGGATCATTAATACTTTTTGTTGTTGTTTTAGTATTGGGCATTGAACCCAGGGCTTTCCTACTGAGCTATGTCCTCAAATCTTTTTTATTTTTTATTTTGAGACAAGGTCTACTAAGATGCCTAGGCTGGGCACAAACTTTTTTTTGGAGTTTTGTTTTTTTGGTACTGGGGATCGAACTTAGGACCTCACGCTTGCAAGGCAGGTGCCAGAACCACTGAGCTAAATCCCCAGGCCTGGGGACAAACTTTTGATCCTCCTGCCTCAGCCTCTCAGAGTCCTGGGATTGTAGGCATGGGGAACCATACCTGGCTTCATCATTATTCCGTTTACATAGTAAAGTACATCTTAGTGTAGGACTGTGTATTTGTGTCTTTTCCCACTGGTCTTTTTAAATTTTTTTCTTTTAGGAGCTGGGGATTTAGCTCAGTGGTTCCACCACCTGCCTTGCAAGCACAAGGTCCCGAGTTCGATCCCCGGTACCCACCCCCCCCAAAAAATTTTTTTTTCTTTTCTCTTTTTAGTTCTGACTTTAAATTTTAAGAATTTTATATTTTACAAACTTATATATATGTATATATATTTATTTAAATCAAAGTAGTGAATACACTTTTTTTTTTGGTACCGGGGATCGAACTCAGGTCCTTGCACTTCACATTTTTTTAATTAAATGAAATTTAGAAATTTGTATGGGAACCAGGTGTGGTGATGTACACCTGTAATCCCAGCACTCAAGAGGCTAAGGTGGTAGGATCATAGCCATAGCCTGCATAGCAAGACCTTGACTCCAAAAAAAAAAAAAAATGGAAAAGAAATTTGTTTAGGAAAACAACTACCTCCCTTCCTGGAGAGAGTAGTTTCACTTTATTTAGTTATCACTTCTGGTGTGTACCTTCATATTTCTAGACAATGTTTATTTATATTTTTATTTCCTAAATAATCAGTCTTAGGCATTACCTACTAACATTTTGTTATTTTGTTTCTTTAATCTTGTACTTTGCTTTCCTGTATCTTTCCAGATAATGATGGCATAATTTATTTATTTTAGATTGCTGGGGATTGAACCAAGTCTTACATGCTAAACATAAGTTCTACCCGGGCCGAGGATTTACCTCAGTGGTTCCGCCGCCTGCCTCGCAAGCGGAAGGACCTGAGTTCGATGGCCGGTACCAAAAAAAAAAAAAAAAGTTCTACCTTTGCGCTGTGCTCCCCAACCCCAGTATGTCATAATTGATAGAGTTTACCTCATTATGATTATTTAAATGTTGTTTACTGCAGGTTAAAATAGTACATTAGGCTTGTTTCTTTCATAACTTTTTAAAATTTTGCTTTATTTGTCACTATCATTTTCTTTTCTTCAGGTACAGGAGATTGAGCCCAGGACTTTCACAGTGAGCTACATCCGTAGCATTTGTTGTTGTTGTTGTTGTTGTAGTTGTTGTAGTAGTTTTGAAGCAGAATCTCAGGCAGGGCTCCAACTTGTGACCCTCTTGCCTTTGACTCCCAGACTGCTGGGAGCACAGGCATGTGCTGCCATCCCTGGCTTCTTTTCTTTATTTATTTTGGGGTTTTTTAGACATACTGTCTCACTATGTGGCCCAGCCTGAATTCAAACTCCTGGGCTCAAGTGATCCTCCTCCTGCCCTAGCCTCCCAGGTGGACAGGACTAACTATAGGCATGTGCCACCATGCCCAAATATCATCCCCTCCCTCCCTGCCCCATACTGGGGATCAAACTCAGGACCTTTCTCTTGCCAGGCAGGCACAGCGCCACTGAGCTAAACCCCCAGCCCTCATTTTCTTAATGCTCAGAGAGATGGCCAGTGATCTCTCCACTCTTCACTTGATCTTAGCTAAAAGGCTGAGAGCCAATTGATCTCTCCACTCTTATTTCTTTGATACCCTTTTCAGAAACATCCGTTTCTGCAGCCTGTGAGCCCATCCTCTGTGATCAGTACAGTTGCTCCCTGTGTGGGTGCCTTGTTCCTGGTGCTTAGCTGTTTCTCTTCCTTTCTACCTTTTTGTGGAACTCATCTTCCAGTAGCTTCCTAAGAAAACATGCATGGGAGGTAAAATTTTTTTTTTTTTTTTTGGTCCTGGGGATCAAACTCGGGTCCTTGTGCTTGTGAAGCAGGCAGCGGAACCACTGAGGTAAATCCCCAGCCCGAGGAGAGATGTTTTTTAGATATGCAAAGATTCAAAAATTTACCTCCCAGGGCTGGGGATTTACCTCAGTGGTTCCGCCGCCTGCTTCACAAGCACAAGGACCCGAGCTTGATCCCCAGCACCAAAAAAAAAAGAAAGAAAGAAAAAAAAAAAATCTCTCCTCAGACATGACACTTTGGGCTAAGTATAAAATTCTAGGTTAAATATTTTCCCCTAGAAGGGTCTTGCTGTATACTTTAGACTGGCCTTGAAATCACTGTGTAGCACAGACTGGCTTCAAACTTACAGTGATCCTCTTGCCTTGGCTTCCCAAGTGCTGGGATTACAGGTGTGCGCGCCACCTTGCCTGACTCCCCTAGAATTTTGACTCTTGCTCCACTATCTTCTAGCTTCCAGTTTTGTTGTGGAGAAGCTAATGCTATATTCTTTTTTTTTTTGGTACCGGGGATCGAACTCAGGACCTTGTGCTTGTGCAGCAGGCACCAGAACCACTGAGCTAAATCCCCGGTGTGCTATATTCTTGATTTTAAAATTTTTTATATATGCCTTTTTTTCTCTCTAAAAGCTTTAGGATCTTACATTTGTCTCTGAAATTGTGAAATTTTAAAATAGTGTCTATCAGACAGGCATGGTGGTGCACAACTGTAATCCTAGTACCCAGGAGGGTCACTGCAAGTTCTAGGCCAGCCTGGCCTACATAGTGAGAATCAGTCTCAAAACTACACACACAGGGGCTGGGGATTTGGCTCAGTGGTTTCGCCGCCTGCTGCACAAGCGCAATGACCGAGTTCGATTCCCCAGTACCAAAAAAAAAAAAATTACACACACACATACGTCCTTCAGTGTTCTTTTTGTTCAATCACTGTAATGGTATGTTTCATTTCTTCATTTTACTTTTTTTTTTTTTTTTTGGCATTGATGGTGATGGATCCCAGGGACTTGTGTGTGTGAAGCAAGTACTCTACCACTGAGCTACATCTTCTCCCAGCCTTCAGTGTTCCCTTTCAATCTAGAAACCTGTGTCAGTTTTCCTGGGGTGTTTTCTTCTGTTTTTCCATGCTCTGTGCAAGTCCCATGCTTTTCTGGATTAGTCCTCTAGCTTTCTTCTATTTTTGTTTTTTATCATTTTGCTATACTTTTTAAAGAGATATGTCTTCAACTTTGTCCAGATTTTTCTAAGTGTGGTGTGTGTGTGTGTGTGTGTGTGTGTGTGTGTGTGTATGTGTGTTAAGAAAGATTTCTTTTGGCTCACAGTTTGTAGAGGTTTAAGTCCATAATCTCTGGTTCCAGAGCAGAATCATCGTGGTGGGAGGGCCTGCTGCAGAGAAAAGCAGCTCACCTCATGGCAGACTGGAAACAGAGATTGTAGGGAAGGGCTAGGGAGGGAGATAAAGCATTCCAGGCCACACCCCAAATGACCCACGTCTTCTACCTAGACCCCACCTCCTAACAGCAAGTCAGGTATAAACTCGCATAATCCAGTCACCTTCCAAAGGTCCTGCCTATGAGTACATGAGGCCCTTGGGGACATCTAAATATATACTTGATCTTAGCCAAAAGGCTGAGAAGCGATGGGGGCATCTAAATATAAACCATAATATTCCATCTCTTGGCCCCAGAAGGCCCATATGTACCCATTTATGCAAAATGTGTTTAGCCCATCTCTAAGAATTGCCAAAGTCTTAACAGTTTCAGCATGGCTGAAAAGTTCAAGTCCAAAGTCTCTTCTGAGACTTAAGGCAAACTCTTAGCTGTGACCCTCTGTGAAAATCAAAAAGGTTAAATACTGCTGACATACAAAGGCACCAGGTAAATAGCCCCATTCCAATGAGACTGTCTTAGTTACTTTTCTTATTGCCAACACCCAAAGTTACAGGAGGAAAGGTTTATTTGGCTCACAGTTGGTAGAGGTTTCAGTCCATCGTTGGCTGGTTCCAAAGTAAGGTGGCATGGCAGAGGGGCATCACAGAGGAGAAACAGTTCATGGCAGGCAGAAAGCAGCAAAGTAGCAGCACCCACAGCTGCCTTTATATTTCATCCAGGATACTCGCCCTTTGGGTGGTGTTATCCATACCCAGGATGGGGCACCCTTAATCCCAGCATCACACACTAAATCCAGCCACCTCCCCATGAGGCTTTGGGGGGCCATCTAAATACAAGCCTTAACATTCTGCCCTTGGCCCTCCAAAGACTCATGTACATCCCTTTATACAAAGGGCATTTAGCCCATCTCTAAGAGTTACCAAAATACTAATAGTTTCAGCATTGCCGGAAAGTCCAAGTCCAAAGTCTCTTTTGAGATTTAAAGCAAACTATTAGCTGGGAGCCCCTGTAGAAATTTTTAAAAAGGAACACTTCCAACATACAGTGGCACAAGATAGACATTTCCATTTCAAAAGGTACAAAGAGAGATAAAAAGGAATGGGAATAAAGACCAAAATCCAGTAGGGCACATACTAAATCCTGTAGTTCCATGTCTAGCATCTAAAGGCAATCTGTGGCAAGATGTGAACTCCAAAGGACTTGGGTGGTTGGTTCTGCCCCTCCGGCACTGTGGGTGGTTGCAGCTCTTACGGATTTTCTCTTGGGCCAGCTCTGCTCCCTCCTTGCAACTTTGCTTGGACAATCCACATATGTGGCTTCTCCCACCCTCTGAGATCCCCACTGCACCTTCAGCTTCACACACTGCCCTCTTGGGCACACTGCCTGGCCTTCCAGGCCTTCTGAAATCTGAGTAGAAGCCTTCTTGACCCTACAACTCTTGCATTCTGCATGCACCTAAAATCAGCATGATGTCGATGATGCCAGGGTCTGCTCTGCTGCCAGTTGGAGCAGTAGCCAAGCTTGGTCTCTCTTGGCTGTAGGAGTCAAGTGCTTAGATTGCTGAGTGTGGTGAACCCAATCTTGAACAAATTCTCTAGGCCACCAGCATTCTGGAACGTGATTCTCTGGGGCTCTTCTAAAAGTAATCTTTCATGTTTGCAATTTTTAGGCTGCAGAGTGGAGTCCTACTAGTTCTTCAGATGTCCTCAGGTTATCTTTTCTATTGCACTCTTCTGAAATACTTAACTTTTTATGGCTAGTTTTTTTCAGTGACCAATTTCTCCTCTGTTCCATCTTTGAAGGCTACAACTTTACTAGAGCTTCCTTTCTGGCCAAAGTCAAAAGTTCTGGCTGGGGATTTAGCTCAGTGGCACCAAGTATACCTCGAAAACGCAAGGTCTTACATTCGATCCCTGGTACCAAAAAAAAAAAGTACCAACAAAGTCGAAAATCCTGCTGAGCTCTTTGGTCTTGATTTTCAACATAGATCTGGCTGAAAGCCCCCAAGAGTAGCCATACCACCGCCTCAACTGCCTTGAAATTTCTTCCACAAGATTAATTAGTCCGGCCTCCTTAACCTTGATCTCAGGTAAAGTATCTGGACACAAGCAAAATGCAGACAAATTTTTTTTGCCAAAGCATACACACATGGTCTGGAGTCCAGCTGCCAACACAGTCCTTCTTACCAGCAGAAACCTCCTGAGCCTGGTCTTTTCTGCCTGTTTTTTTCAGTAGCATTCTGGTTTTCTGAGCTCTGAACAGAATCTTTCATCAAGGTTGGTTTACAGCATTCTAGGCCTTCTCTAGCCAGCAGCTCTAAACCTTTGCAAGCTCTTCCCAGGAGCCAGTTCCAAAGGTGCCTAAACCACGTATATTCACAGTAACCACCCTTCTACTCTGGTACCAAAATCTGTTTTAGTCATGTTCTCATCTTTGAGGCACAATACCCAACACCCACAAGGTAAAGCAGGAAAGATTTATTTGACTCACAGTTTGTAGAGTTTTCAGTCCATAGTTGGCTGGCTCCAAAGCAGGATGTTATGGCAGAGGGGCATTGCAGAGGAGAACTGCTCATGACATGCTAATGAATTTTTTTGAAAATGTGTCATTTTCATTTATAATTGGTCTTTTTCCTGATTTTTTTCCTTAGCATCTTACTCTTGATTTGTGAGTCTGCTATCTTATCTAATCTGTATAAGAATTTTAATAGATCTGGTTGGTTGGTTGGTT